TTTTGTTTTAGTCTTAAAAAGTGATAGGTGTGTAGATCAAAAAACGGACCGAATTAGCATGCCCTGCTGTAAATTTTGACCAGTTAATGAAAAACAAGCTTATGTGGATTCTACACATTTAAACAATAAGGTATCTAGTATTATTTATGGAGCAGATAAATACATATAATCACTTATTAATCAATTATCATTTTGACTTGACCCTTTTCTTTATTTAAAAGCTGAAATGTGAGGTTTACCTTTTTATGAAACTTTTTCAAAGCTTTATTTGAACATTTACATTAGATATTTGAACACGCTATTAGATAAACTGTTGTCAGTCATGTTGTCATTTAAAATCCGGACATCATTGGCAATGTTATTGTTTTAGTTATGCAAACAAAAACTCATTTTATTTGTTGTTTGTTGATTTTAAATGTAAAACTTGAAGTGATTTATGTGTTGGTACTTTTTGAACATTTCCAGCACATTTTAACAATACCGTGATAATACTGATAACCGTGATCATTTTGGTCACTATAACCGTGATTAGAAATGTTCATACCGTTACATCCCTATATCGAAGTTAGAAATTCAAATATTGTGACAAAATTAATTTTGTAGGGTGCCACAAGTTTGTTAAAATTTCCAAAGGGTGCCGCGATTAAAAAAAAGTTTGGGAAACACTGCTCTAGATGATGAGTGACGGTGACCTTTAATTGTCTTGTTCACTCTTATAGATCAGAGAGCTATAAAAAATAAATGCCAATATATCTTTTTTTTCCTGCTCCATTATTCAGCGTTGGTGTGTCAGACGGTCTCTAAATGAGATAAGATTTTTAAAAAAAAGACTGGGTAGTCAGTACCACAAAATAAAGTAAAGAAAAGACTCAAAACAAATATAACATGAATCGAACGAATGATTCTTATGAGTTGCTCTTCTTAAAGTACTTATATGTGTATGTTGGGGAGAGTGACTTTTGTTCTGTAGCCACATTCAATGAGGTTTATTCTTGACTGCTCTAAACTGATTGTTTGATTTGGTGTAGCACAGTCTCATATCTCATATCTGTTTGTGTTGTTGTGTGCGAAATTAGATAATCTGCCTGACTCCCCTGTCACTATGTGTGGGGAAAATCAGGCATGTAATAATATAACAGATTAATGCTGCTTGACAGCTATGTTACTCTGGTGACAAAGCATAAGACTTTTCCACACTGCTTGTTTGCTTTGTTACTACCAGAGGTGAATTCATGCTTAACGCCTTATAAGAACCCTCTAAAAATAATTGGTAAAACATCTAGTTTAAAATTTAATATATATATATATATATACATAAAAAAAATTCAATGGCTGTCAAAGGCAACAGTGTTGTTTTTATAATATAGTTTTTATTCATATTTTGAATTTGCCTTTTTTATATATTTTTTTGTTTGAAATAGTTTTGATATGTGCTAATTTTTATTAGGTTTAGGTAAAATTAGTACTTCAAATTAAATTATTTTCATTAGTTGGCAAAGCTAAGTTTTTAACTTTTCATTTAATATTTATTAATTTATTAATATTTATTTTATTTTATTTAAAGCTGCAGTCCGTAACTATTTTTGGTTAAAAATTATCCAAAATCAATATTTGAGCAAGTACATAACCAGCCAATGTTCAAAACTATCGCCTTACTTTAGCCCGATTCACAACGGTTAGCTTATAATAATGTTTTCTAATTTGAGTTGAACGGGTAGGTTTTCGTGGGAAATTCGAGCATGGCACTGCGTCATTACGTCACGTCTGTAAACATAAAGAAGTTGTCCCAGCTACTAGGCTATCGCATGTGAGGATCCTGCAGGTGGCCGATCGTTTTATAGCCTTTTCTCACAGCAGCCAAAATAAATAAATGTATAATTTTGATGGCGGATTGTAATCCAGAAAGGATTATGTGTTTATGAAACCCATGTGAATGAAATTAAATTATATTCCAGTTATAAATGTGCTTCTGATTACAGATAACCTGGGATTACAAAGATTTGTATTTTAAAGAAAACCAGTTCGAAGAGAGCATAATTTGCTTTTTGGGTTAAAAAAATTTCTTAATATGAAATTCGAAGAGTATGACAATTAGGTTAGACTGTGCAGAAATTGAAATCTACATGCTAATAAACACTATACTCGTCACCAATGCTGATGTTGTTAACATTAATCATTTGAGAATAAAGTATAACAATAATAATAATTTGAATGGTTTGATGTGATATGAGCTAACCGATCTTTAGATTTAATCACCATTGGTAGTGAGATTTATGGTAATGCTTTTTTCCTCAGTTGGTCAGAACAAACGTGGCAGACTTGTTACTTGTTCAGATGGCAAAATATGGTGAAATCCAAGGGTCATATTCCAAGACGTAGGCTAGAATCTGTGATTGCGAAGTACAGTAAATATCTGCCACACATACTCTTCAGAACATTAGATTCATCCGTGCTGGAGCCGTGTCGACTCTCAACCCAGGCAAGCTAGATAATTACACACCCAGCTGCAATTCCAGGTTTTCAAACAGAGATGGCGACAAAGAGGCTAAACTTACGGACTGCAGATTTAAGCTTTATTTCAAATAACAAAAAAATGCTTTTTAACAGTTTTAGTTTTGTTTTTGTTAAAAATAACACTGATGGAGAAAGATGGTATTTGCAGCCAAATGATGTTTTACAGCCAAAAGAGGCTAATAGGTCCATGCTAACTTCTCCCTGGTTGTAACTACCAAAGTTCAATGTCCAAATAAGAGTCCTTCCAAAAGTTTGTGCACAAGATAAATATACACACAATATGCATGACCAAGAAATAACATAAATGCAATTTAATTTTAAAATTGTTTTATTAATTATTTTTCCAATTGTTCCTCTCTCTTAGAGAAATATGACTACGTTGGCCGTTTGTTGAAGCCGGGAGATGAGCCGTCTGAGTACACAGATGAAGAGGACACGAAGGATCATCAAAAACACGAATGATCTGCTGATACATCACAGCAGCTGAAGCCCAGGACTGAGAAGGCCACCATCCAGAATAGTTAACCCCAGCAAGAAAACCCCCTCAGATCTGCCCTTTACCTTGGTTGTACCGTGTCCCCACTACTGCTCCACCACAGAGATAAACGCGTCTGTCTAAAAGCCCCCTGCTGTTCTGACTGTTCTTCTACCAAAACAGACCAATAGCCTGTCAGAGTTTCCTGTACTCTTCTTGTCTGTTCTTGATACCTTCTCCTTAATCCAGCTCCTTGCCCCCTCAATCTTCCTGTCCTACCTAAGCACTCAATTTATACCATCAAACACTATTTTATACCATAAACCACCAGTCCTGCACCCTAAATCATCAGTCATACAGTCTAAACCCTAAACCCTACAGTCCAATGGAAAGTGAAACGCACTTTATAGCATCCTGCACATTTGCGTGTTCAGACTTGGACTGACAATGTGAAGAGATAAATAAAAAGGAGGAAGGACAAAACACTGAATACACACATACTCACTTAATTTTCATTGGGAACTTCACCGTTCATGACCTCAAAGCTCACACACACATAGAACGGGGCAGATGCCTGGAGGTCATTACACAACAGGTTAAAAAACGCAACTGGGGTCTCTTTTCACCCCCCCACCCCCACTTAAGTGATACTTTTTGTTGTTTTTGTGTGCGTGATTATTGTACCACAACACAGATTTCATATACTTCTCAAGCATTTAAATCTCATGCTTATTCGTCGACTGAGAACGTTGTCATTTTAAATCAAAGTATGTCGAATGGATATGGTAACCAATCCAAAAGCCAGATTGTCTGCCATCAGCCAATCAGTCCAAAGGTTGGGAGGGTCTGGGTAAGTGGGTGCTCTTAGCAATGTTTGTATTGTGTGCACCACTAGTGTGTAGCCATTTTTGTCACAATGTGATTGTAAATCATTTGAGATGGGAAATGTTTGTGGGGGAGAGGGTATCCGTTAGCATTCTCGCCATAAAACTGTTGTTTTATTTGAACTGTGTAAATCTGAACAGCTGGTTGGGATGCAAAGGGAAGATCAGTTCGGTAGTTTAATTGGATCAGCTTGTCTGCTCATCGGTCAACAGAACTCTCCTTTCCCCTGTTAATGAAACAGTCAGCATAGTTATTGTGCCTTATTTCCGTTTAATTCTACTTCAGAATAGTCAAGAGATGTAGAAAGATACTGGTATGAAAACTAGAGGGAGAAAATGCAAAGATAAAACATGTTCCGCTCTGCCCTTTCCATAATATATACTCATAGGAGGTTTTTCAAAAGCCAAGGCATCTTTCCCCTCCATTTCCTCACAGTTCGTATGACGAGGTGTGCTCGCGTCTGTGAGCAGATTCCACACAAGAGGCTCGACCACCATTATCGTGACCTTGTATATAGACTTTATGAGCTATTTCAGTGTTACTGCCATATCTGCGCTGTTATTAAACTCCATGCACTGCTGTGTTGTGCTGGCCAAAAGATCCATTGCTCTTTCTGTTTCCATCTCTTTTTCCCCTCTTTTTTTTTGTTTTTGTTTTCTCTGCTGAATTTATTTTTAATTGTGGGTAATTTTCAAATCCACCCTTAAGTGTTATGTTTTGTTGTTCTTCTGGAGAGGGGAACTATGAGTTTGGAAGAATATTTTGACTTTGCTGAGGGGAGGGGGATGAGGCAAAATTCCAAAATTGTGGATTCTGTAAATATGTGTATCATTTTATTAAAGCATGTGCAGCAAACAGTGAGGTAATGCTGGCTCTCACGTCATGTATTTAAATGGAGTTTGCAAGGATGTGTGTGTGTGCTGGGTGGGTGGGTGGGGGGGGGGGAAGAACGTGAACTTGTTGTTGCAGAAATAAATACATTTGGTTAATAACTACTGTTATCTTCTGCCCCTCTGTTGTGTCATCTTAAGTGCAAAAATAGGCATTGTCTCACAAAGGATATTATTTTTAAAAAAATGTTTTTAAAAACTCTAAAAGTTGAAGCGGGGACTGTAACTTCTGAAATGTAAGATGTGTTGAGAAACCACTAGGCTAATTTGTTTACTAAATTTACTTCTATGGATCGTGTCATTCTAGCACTGTTTTTATTGGGTACTTCCATACAGCATTTAGCTGTGTGAATGATGTGGTGAAGGAATAAGGGAGGAAGTTTGTGGTTGGTTGAGGAATTTGTCATGTTCCAGTTATAAATACTGAGAGTGCATATGCAAAAATGTAGCATAGAGTAATAGCAATAGTTTGTCCAGATAATTTTTATTGACTTGCAGACTTATAATTGTAAGCATGATTTATCAGTGTGAAATGTCACACAATCTTATTAGAGCTGAAAACAATTTACTCAAGGTAATTTATCAATAATGTGCGCCTCACACGCCATTTACACAATCAGCAATGAAACCGATTTAGTTTACAGTTTCACAGCTCAGACTATGTAATTCAGCTCTCCCAGTTATGAACTTTGTATCTTAAAAAAAATTAATATGTTTGTGTTGGTTTTAAATATTTATTTTTTATAAAGGGGTAGGCTACATCAGACTTTCCTCAGACTTCCTGGAAGATGATTTCATTAAGGACTTTATTTAGTTTATTATAAAAATTACAAAACACTTAACAGCATAGAGATTGAAATAGTTCGCCATTAACCGCCAGATGTCACTGAATCCCTTATGGTCCTCTGAGGTATGTACCGGTGATGGGATTACCGAGTCATTTCCGCGAATCGGTTCTTACAGTTCGGTTCAAAATTCCAGTGATCATTCCAGCATGTCAAAGTACCTGCTATAAAGCGTTCCAGTAAAGCCATATGTAGGCACTTACAGGTGCATCTCAATAAATTAGAATGTCGTGGAAAAGTTCATTTATTTCAGTAATTCAACTCAAATTGTGAAACTCGTGTATTAAATAAATTCAATGCACACAGACTGAAGTAGTTTAAGTCTTTGGTTCTTTTAATTGTGATGATTTTGGCTCACATTTAACAAAAACCCACCAATTCACTATCTCAACAAATTAGAATACTTCATAAGACCAATAAAAAAAACATTTTTAGTGAATTGTTGGCCTTCTGGAAAGTATGTTCATTTACTGTTCATGTACTCAATACTTGGTAGGAGCTCCTTTTGCTTTAATTACTTACTGAATCTGTGTTTTTGTTTTTGTTTTTGTGAGTGAGATGAATTAATGCATATTCATATTTATTTTAGAACTACAGTAACATCTGATTTCTCTCAACATGGCAACACCAGAGCTGTCAGTCAATAAATTGGAAAAAAAGTAACTTGCGTTACTTATTTGAAAAAGTAACTCAGATATTCTCTTGTAAATGAAAAAGTAATGCGTTACTTTACTAGTTACTTGAAAAAAGTAATCTGATTACGTAACTCGCGTTACTTGTAATGCTTTACCCCCCAACACTGCAGATGACATTGCACCCCAAATCATCAGAAACTTAACACTGGACTTCAAGCAACTTGGGCTATGAGCTTCTCCACCCTTCCTCCAGACTCTAGGACCTTGGTTTCCAAATGAAATACAAAACTTGCTCTCATCTGAAAAGAGGACTTTACTATACAGAACATGGGCATATGGTGATTCTTTCTAAATTCATTTCGCGAACGATGCTTCTTTTGCATGAGATGAGTCGAATTTGTAGTAGAATTGTCTAGAACAGAACTGCATTTAAGACAGGCGTTTTTTTGTTGGGTAAGTTTGGTTTTCTTGAACTGTATAAACACTAGAGTGCTTAAACATATTGTGGAAGCAGGTTTTAGATTCTGCATATGTCGATATCTTGCAGCTTTATACAAAATATCTGCGATCCACTCGTATTATTTTGACAACACTGTGGTCAATGAGTTATCATCGTGTATATCTGTAGTGCATGTTCTCGTGGGGAGATTGCATGAATGATTTTGTGGTTGATTACACAATACATTGTTTCACTGTGACCGGCCGGCTGTGTGAAAGTGTGTGAACCACGGGTTCAGATGAACCAATTTGAGAGGGAAAATGCATACAGATTGGTAATATAAATATAAAATGCATAAATGCTTAAAATGTTCTTTTTTGGGTTAGTCTAGACAAGAATTTGATGATGCCTTCAGCTCTGGTGTATTCTCAGTCGTCCATATTTTTTAAAGCGTTAACGGAACATATTTTATAGCATTTTCTGTACGTGTCTTTATAATTTTTTTTTCTCAGAAAAGGTACTGCACAGGATAAGTGTTTAAAGTGTAAAATCAAGGATTTTCGGATCTTCTAACAATAACTTCTACTGACTATTTTGATATTTCACATTCACTTGTCAAGAGGGTCTAACAGTTGAGTTCCATTATACTGTAAGTTGGAGCTGATGGTGAACTTGACTTTAACAGGAGGGACGTTTCTCACCATGCCTGAGCATTTATCCCAGAGTGAACTGGACTATCCTTTTAAGCTCTTGGAATATTTCAATGGATTCAGGATCTCCAAGGTTTGTGTTTTATTCTATATCTCTGTGAGACTCATACTGAATTCCTTATAGTCTCTATTATTGAGTTGTTATCAAAATGAGTGCATGAATATCAATCAGTCAATTGATATAAATCAGTACTTCTGTGCTACTTCCTATGTGATGTGGAATCACCTCAGGTATGTTTAGCAGACCATTTTAACAATGTGTTTACCACACATGACATTTATTGTTGGATTATGAGTAAATGTTTTATGTGAGAGCATCTATTATTTGTGGCATGTCCCCGCTTGTGTCTTATTTACCTCTGTGGCCACCAGGGCTGATTTGACCTCCAGCAGGACAGGCCTATAACTTATTAAACTCCACTGAGTCAAACACTGAGATGACTCAAGACTTTATCACACAAGACCCAGAAAGGATGCTGCATGAACTGTAGAATTCACTAGAATTCTTTTACAAAAACATCAAAATATTTGTCTTGTTTTCCAGATTTTTTTAAAAGAAATAAAAATACTTCTATTCAGCAAGGATGTATTAAATTTATCAAACGTGACAGTAAAGAAATGTATAATTTTACAAAAGATTTCTATTTAAAATAAATACTGCTCTTTTGAACTTTCTATTTGTCAAAGAATCCTAAAAAATGTATCACTGTTTCAACAAAAATATTAAGCAGTATTAAAAATGGATAAAAGGAAATGTTTAGGGAGCACCGAATCAGCATTTTAGAATGATTTCTAAAGAATCATGTGAGACTGGAGTAATGGCTGCTGAAAATTCGGCTCACAGAAATAAATTACATTGAATAATATCTAAAAACAGGAAACTTTTTTTTAACTGTAACAATATATCACAATATTACTTCAACTTTGGGTTTTTCCTGGGGAAATATAGTGGCTGCAGTATTAGTGCAAAAAATCACACCGCAAAAGTCTTATTTAGTCATAGTATATCAGTAATCAAAATGTTGCCTTGTTGTCTAATTAAAATATCCTAAAAAAAAGGAAAACAAGAGAGAGAATTGCATAATTTTTGTGAAAATGACTGATATGAAATGCAAACATATTCATTCGATTAGAAAATGCATTGTGAACTTTTTCTGTTTTGACTCTTTCCTTACGAAATATGAATTGAATTATTTGAGCTAAAAATAAAAAGCTCATAATTGTAGAAAAATGTTTTTCTACAAAATGTGCAAGAAGTAGTAGATTTGCAAGTTATGTTATTTTGAGATGCTTTGCAGGCTGCTCTGGTGCATTAGCGCGAGAGTTGGCTAAAGAGTATCCTTCCTCCACTGTCACGGTGCTGGATCTCCCGGCTGTGGTCCAGACTGCTCAGCAGCATTTCGCCCAGCAAGACGCCACCATCTGTTTTCAAGAGGATGCGTAATGACGCATCGTAAGATTGTTAATGGTTTGCATTTGACCGATTCTCTTTCCTTCTGAACTTGTCGAAAACAACAAGCAGTCTAATGGCTGCCCTGACCACAGAATATTTTAAGTTTTTAGTGTTATTATAGTTAATGAAACCTGAAATGGAAACTTTTTTCTTAACTAAAATATAATTAAAAACTAAAATAACTGGGAAAAAGTCAAACTAAAATACTCAAAAATGGCCTCAAATTAATGTTTTAGTTTCTTATAAATAATATATCATAAAACCATCTGTATTAAACATGAACACATTAAACACTTGATGGCAATAGCACTGCTGATAAATTCAGTGCTGTTAGGCATTTTTTAATTATACCAGTTACAGTAGCACATTAACTAAGAAAATTAAATAAACAGAAACTGGTAAACACTGTAAAAAAATAAATAAATAAACTACCATTCAAAAGTTTGGGGTCAGTAAGTATGTTTTTTTGTTTGTTTGTTTTTTCAAAAGAGAATTTTATTCAGCAAGGATGCATTATTAGACTTATACATTGCAATAGATTTTTATTTATAACATTTATACTTATTTATATTTATCTGAACTCACACAGGCTCATGTCATGTGACACTAAAGACTGGAGTAATGGCTGCTGAAAATTCAGCTTTGCCATCACAGGAATAAATTACATTTTTAAAATAGATTAAAATGGAAATTTTATTATCTTTTAATAATTTAGTTTTACTTTTTGATCAATTAAATGCAGCCTTGGTGAGCATAGATGTCTTCTTTCAGTAACATTTGAAACGCTTACCAACCCCAAACTTTTCAACGGCAGTATAAAACTAACAATGATGTGCATGATGATATGAAAGCTAAATTAAGATAAAAACTAAATTGAAAATTCATAATGGCATTTCTGATCTTTAAAGCAATTAGGTATATGTAAATGTATAATATATGTATGTGTATGTATTTGTAGGGGACTTTTTTGAAGGAGAAATCCCTCCTGCAGATTTATACATTCTGGCCCGGATCATTCATGACTGGAAGGAGGAAAAAAATCTCAAACTACTGAAGAAGATTCATACAGCATGTCATCCAGGTGAGAAAAGATGTCATTACCTGGTCAATAATAGGCCCTAAAATGATCGTTTTCAAAGCATCTGACTTGCGCTTTTATCTTCATCTCTATCTAGGTGGAGGCGTTCTGATCGCAGAGGCACTGTTGTTTGAGAACCGCCGTGGTCCAACTATGGTTCAGATGTTTTCTCTGAACATGCTGGTGCAGACAGAAGGGAAAGAGCATCCACCCTCTCATTATACACATATGCTCACCGAAGCAGGATTCAGAGATGTGCAGGTCTGTCGGACCGGAAAATCATACAATGCTATTTTGGCACTCAAATGAATATGCACAAGTGTATTAATGTAAGCATTGTCAGTAATCAGAACCCTTCTGCCTTATGCCCTTATCTGCAGACACGTCAGTAATCATATTCATGCACATGTCAGACATCTGTTGTTCCACCTTGGCCTCGTTTTGTAAAGTAATAAAGCAGTTTTATTTCTCCAACACAGAGTGAGCCCACTCCTGATCCTTACGATTCCTTCAAAAGACCAACTTTAGTACAAATTAGGTTTAGTTATTTGTGAGCTTGACTCCTGAGGCCTACCAGATGTAGTCTGAGAAGGGTGGGATAAAGAGCTGTTTTGGATTGGCCGGTGGTGTCAAAATAAGCTCCTCCCTCTATCCCGTCTTGTGTATCTATGCACTGTCGTCTTGACATATGGTTAAGTGTGACCCCTAGTGGTTATTTGTTGAACTAACACAGAAAAAAACATTCTTCTAAAAATGTACACAAAATCCATACATAAAATAGCAGTAGTTGATTTTTAGCTAAAGAAAGTCTGAATATCAACTCCTGGCCTCATTCCATTTCAACAATATGATTTTTGTATCAAATAGTCCTAATACAATTCATTTACCATCCTTCTACAGAAAAAAATGCCTCTTGATTTTTTTGTTTATTATTTGTGTATTTTTTATTTAGTAAAAAGCTTGCACCACCCGTGACGTTCTGCCACACATTTATGCTTATTATAAAGTATATTATAGACCAAAGTATTTTGTTGTGAAGTGATCTCAATGTGATTTCCATCTTTTGTATTTTGTACCTTTCATCGAAAGTGCAAGATGTTCATGATGCATCTCACCTGCTTACAAACAAGTAAACAACTCAAATGGATTCGTAATTTCGTAATTTATGATATCATAAGAGATCATCCTCTGTTCGTGCGGGAGCGCGCTGTGGATGTTTCCAGCTGTTTAATGCCACTCAGCGGGTGTTGCATTGCTTCAGTCCAAAAGAAGTTAAATAAAAAGCACCCATCCATTAAAAAAAAGCATCTCACACGGCTCCGCGGGGTGAACAAAGGCCTTCTGTAGCGAACTGATGCGTTTTTGTAAGAAAATTATCCACATTCAAAACGTAATAATCATTTTAATCTAGCTTGCGCTCACTGTTGTAAACGGAAGCAATTCCGGGCGGATGTCGAGCATTTCAGTCTGCCATTGGTCTATTCAACAGATAGTCCCGCCTTCAGACCCACGGGATTGGTTGCACCGATGTTATGTTGCGGTGCTCAACCAAACAGCAGCGGTTGGATAGCACCACGTTTTGGAGGAATCGGCGTACAAATTACTTATAAATTGATTCTGCATATTAAGCTCAAATAGCAGGATTATATGAAGTTTAATATAAAGTATCTTAACGTAGTCTTTAAGTTGAGTTTGGCTTGTAAAGTCTTCTTTAACTCTGAATCTGCATGTCTCTGCTGGCTTCAGTCAAGTTGCGGCTGGCTGGGGGAAAGCAGTGCACTCACCAGTCATCTCTGCAGGATCAGTTTTCACAGGAATGTTCTGCTAATGTTTGATCAACCTCTGCAGATTTCTGCATCACTTGAAGGCCACGGCAGCTGACGATGAAGCGAAGCCGTGTCCCGAGCACCAGTGAGGACTCAGATAATGGAAGTAAGTAGACAGACACTTTATTTTCTAGTACCAACTTGCCTCGAGTAATCTATATTGCTCTTCTGGTAATACTGAAGTTGCATGTTCTTAAAGTCACCATGAACTCAAGATTGGACAATTCTTATTTTTGCAATATGTTTATTATAAATTCTGTCCACATCATTTTTATATATATATAATTTTTAATTTTTTTTAATTCATTTATGTGTCACAAGCACTCTCCTTCTGCAAAACTAATACTGCCATTTTTTGAAACTAATAGAACTATTAATGCTGCTAATAACATGAAGTATCCCTCTTTCTTGGAGTCTTCGGCACAAGATTCAGCAGTCTTACTGTCTCTTTCAGGTAACTCCACATCCTGGTCTCAGCATTCCAACTCCAAGCAGATGAAACAGAATGGAAAAAGACCCTCAGAGGTACAAAGAAACGCTTCACCCTCAGAACCACCTCACATACGACCCTAACAGACAAAGATGATAATGTTGTAGATATTTGTCACAAATCTTTTCATGCATATTCTGATAGTCACACCCCCTCTTTTCTTTCTCCTCCAGGTGTTCAGGACAGACATGATCACTGCTATGAAGCTGCATGATTCATACCAGCTGAATCCAGAGGATTATTATGAGCTGGCTGATCCTTGGCGGCAGGAGTGGGAGAAAGGGGTTCAAGTCCCTGTTAGTCCTGACTCCATACCACAGTGTTCAGTGCGGTATGAGGATTTAGTTTTTTTCCCTGTCAAACTATTCATCTTTAATGGATGCCATTGATTTATTCCTGTTTTTCTTTTTTTCCTGCAGCACTGTAGCTGAGAAATCCCCCGCTCCTCTGTTCATCAGGCCAAAGAAGCTGATTCGCTCATCTGAGTCATCGATGCTGGGATACGTGGGTATTCAGACGCTAGCTGATGGCATGTGTCGTTATGACCTGAATGAGGAGGACGTAGCTTGGATGCAGATTGCTAACGAGGAGTTCAGCAAGATGGGTGAGCAGATACAGTCTGGAGTTTTCATTTTACCCATTATGCACTCAAATTTCTTACACACTGTTGAAACAAATGTCACGTGTAGCTAACTGATTTGGTTGTAGGCATGCAACTCCTGGATGAGCTGACAATGGAGCGGGTCATGGAGGAGTTTGAGCACCGTTGCTATGACAACATGAGCCACGCCATGGAAACGGAGAAGGGGCTTGGGATCGAGTACGATGAAGACGTGGTGTGTGACGTTTGTCAGTCCCCTGATGGCGAGGACTGCAACGAAATGGTGTTCTGTGACAAGTGCAACATCTGTGTGCATCAGGTGTGTGTATGTATGTGTTTGTGCACCTGAGTGTCTAAATGCATGTGCAAGCACATATTAATTATATAACAATGTACCTCCCCACAGGCATGCTATGGTATACTGAAGGTTCCTGAGGGCAGCTGGCTTTGTCGTACCTGTGCACTGGGTATCTTTCCCAAATGCCATCTGTGTCCTAAAAAAGGTGGGGCCATGAAACCCACTCGCAGTGGCACCAAGTGGGTCCACGTCAGCTGTGCTCTCTGGATACCAGAAGTAAGGATGCATGCAAGTCTTATAAAGTAATTTTGTTAAAGGGGTCATGAACTGGCTTTTTTATTATTTATTACACTGTTGTCTGTGGTCCACTTATGATGTCCGCATGTTTTTTTACATTCAAAAATATAAAAATCAATAGGTAATAGGCTATTTCCTACCCTGGTTTTGAGGCCGGCTCGAGAAACACTCTGTTTTTATGGGTGTGCTGCATTGAAGACTTGGAAGTAAATGCCCACTGCTATGATTGGATAATAATTTTGCATAGTAAACTACCTTTCTGTGTGTCTGTTTGACAAGCTACGTCCTTCATAGTTGGAGCCTTCTGTGACTTTGGTTAGACACGCACACATAATCAGGACATCAAGCTATCTCAAACAAAGCAATAGTGACACAGTACAAAATATTTGTATTTCCCGTCAGATTGAATATAGACAGCACAGCATTGCTTTTTAATCTCAGTCTCTCTGCAAATCCAGCGTCGACCTGTGTCTTGCTTACAAAGGAATCCGCGGTGAAATGAAGCGAACAAACGTTAAATGTTTTACTCGCGTAAGCTGAAACTTCGTTAAATATAAAGTTCAACCACGCATTCCTAATATTTGAATCCGAAGGAAGGTCATGCAGCAACTGTGTTCTTCCACAACCAGGCACTGCACAATATTTTGCTATCTTTAACAGCATGTTTATTGCTTGGTTGCTCGATCCGGTTTAGCGCCACTTACATTATTTCCCTACTATGTCATGTGCGATTCAGTGGGCGGGGCTACAGAATTAGGCATTGATATTCTTCCGTGGAGGTGGTGTTTAACCTACCTAAGGTAGGCACATTCCAGGATCTGGCATTTGCTGGGCCTGGTGAAATTAAAGCTTTTATTTCAGTAACAAGGACATTTTCAGGTCTGAAACTTTCAGGATATTCTTTTAATATGATGATCTCTTATATATCAAAAGCTCAAGTAAAAGTTGATTTCTCAATTCATGACCCCTTTAAGAGTATTGTGTGAGCTCAGACTGGTCTTTGTTGTGTGCTCTTTACCTCTAGGTAAGCTTTGGTAACCCTGAGAAGATGGAACCTATCACCAATGTGTCTCATATACCCAGCAACAGATGGGCTTTAATATGCTGCCTGTGTAAAGAGAAAACAGGAGCTTGTATTCAGGTACACAGTGCTGATGTTTATTACTTATTATGCTATTCATTCAGATATTCAAAATCTTCCAGAGGGCCCAAAGTGCATTTTAAATCTGAATATTTTCTCTCAATTTGAGCTCTGGAGAATAAAATAATATCAATTGATACTAAGGTTAATGATTTTAGGTACTTTTCACTTAATAAAAAAGTTACACATACAAAATGAATGATAGTATTTCTGAAAAATGTTTGAAATTATGTACATTCACATAGGTTGAGGTTATATCAGTATTCTGATAAAAGCTGTTTAATTTTCCATGGACTGAGTCCCCTCATGGGAGCCAACATGTTGAGATCACATGACTTCACTTTATTTCTGTAATCCCCCTCAGGTATTGGACGCTATCACTTGTGGAATAAATTAATCGTTGCTGAGTGCCAAAAGCAGTGTTATTTATTCAGTTTGGTTTTTGCAAGATGCTGCAACCATGCTACTTGGTTTAAATGTAGAATTTTGTTAATTTATTAATAATAATAATAATAAAAAAATCAACTTCACATTTTCCCCATCTTCTGTGCTTTAATCCTGACATTCTCTCTTTCCAAATCCCCCTAGTGTTCTGCCAAAAGTTGCCGTGTGGCATTCCATGTGACTTGCGGTCTGCAGTGTGGGTTGAAGATGAACACAATCCTCACAGAGTCGGATGAAGTCAAGTTTAAGTCTTTTTGTCCCAAGCACTCAGGAATGGACTGGAATGAGGAAGAGGGAGATGATGACAGGCCAGTGAAGGTCCAGACCAGAGAAGAGAGAGGGAGAAACAGGGGAGTGAACATCTCATCCTCTACACAGCCCAGGCTAGCACAAAACCCCAAAGAAACCAGACTCAGTGAGCGTAAACTTCGAGTTCAGCAGTTGGAGGACGAGTTCTATCGCTTCGTCGCCGCTGATGAAGTCGCAGAGCACCTGCAGTTGCCCCTGGAAACTGTGGACTTCCTGTTCCAATACTGGAAATTGAAAAGGAAGGTGAACTTTAACCAGCCGCTCATCATGCCGAAGAAAGAGGAAGAAGACAGCCTTGCCCGACAGGAACAGGAAGTGCTTTTG